GCAATATTATGCCTTGAATTTATGCTATAAATGCTACATGTTTATGTGACTTAATTGCTACTTGACATTTAGCATACTAAATATTAAATTGCCTATTTGCTCCTTAAATTCCATAAATAAATTACTACTTGACATTATTTGTTTTCCTCGGTGAATCATAATTATTGTGTACTTTGTTGTCTTATGAGTTCGTGTTAATTGTTCCTTTTGTTGGAGTAATCATTTGGAAGAACTGTTAATATATAAAAGAGAACGGGTGATACGCCTACCACAAGATATAATGAAATGGGAGCGGGTGGTACGTCTACCATAAGATATGAGAAATGGGTTCGGGTTGCACGCCTGTAACGAGTTGTGAACCGAGAGTGAAATCTGCCTTTGTTTTCCTTATCCTTGTTAGAAGTTGAATTTTAAATTTCCTGATACTCCTCTTGAGATTCTGTTTTATCTGTTATTTCCCGAAGCATGTTTCCCCCTCCCATCTTTATTTGTTTATTTCTACTTTAATCCGCTGTATATTATACAACTGCACAGGTTTATTTGGTGGTCTGGTTCTAGCCTCGTCACTACTTCGCCAGGGTTAGGCTAGGCACTTACCAGCACATGGGGTCGGTTGTGCTGATACTACACTCTGCACTCTTTTGTGCAGACCCCAGTGTTGTAGATCTCGGACCGCACTGAGATTTCTGGATATTGTTCATCAGGCGACCCGAGGTAGCCCTGCAGGCGTACGCAGGCCCTGGCGTCTCCTTCTATCTACCTTTTCCTGTTTCTTACCTGTATTTCCAGAGACAGTGTTGTATTTAATTCTTTCGGGCCTTTATTTGTAGAATTCGTAGACCGTCTGTGAAACTGTGACACCAGTTCTGGGTAGTCGAGACTCAAACAGTTGTATTAGATATTCATGTACAGATAGCTTATTGTTTCTTCCGCTTATGTTAAATTCCGCTGTTTAAATGATATTACTTCACAATTGTTAATGAATATAAGATGGGTAAAAAGGGTAAGTTGTTCATATAATTGGCTTGCCTAGCTCACATTAATAGGCGCCATCACGATTCCCGAGGGTGGGAAATCCGGGTCGTGACATAAACAAATATTGCATTCCTCTAATATATTAAATATAAAGAAAAACTACCAACTAATGAAAATGCATAACAATGCAAGTCGATGGCTCAAAATTCACTGCTTTATTATACTACTTATATTTAGAAAGAAAAGAAAAGAAAACACATTGCATTTCATGAGTGCTAATGGATAAAGTTTGAGTCCGTTGTTTTATTTCTTTTCTAACTTAAAAAGATCACAATAGAAAGATTATTGTTCCGAACAGTCAAATAACGCCAATAGGTTTATTCGATTTTGGTGGTTTTTATTTTTTATATGTATACAAACGGTAGGGCTTGTCCTACACTCACTAAGATCAGTAAGGTAGGGTTAACCCCCTTATACTCTTCCTTCTGAATTATTAAATAAAAAAAAGGTATGATTGTTTATAATTTGCATATAATCTAATAATCTATCTATACGGAAAAAACGTAAGCAATGAATCCAGCTAAATATTTGTGTAAAGATCCCGAAGATTCAAGGTTGAGGGAAAAAAAACCGAAAAAGCCAAAATGTCTATTTATTGTTGAATTAGTTGGCACAGTACATCAAATTCACATATAGAGTAGTTAATTATTCGCACATTTATTGAATGATGAGGGCAACAATTGGATAATTAGTGAAGTTTGAGAACTATAAAGAACGGATGTTCTCAAATTTCTTATAACAATAAAAACGTTTTAGCTATGATGGAATTAGAACCTATGTCATCCCCAGTTAAACAAAGTCAACACAGCCTGTCGTTTATTGCTCATAGTCAATTGAATATCTTGGAAAAGAGGAATAATGAAGCGTGCATCTTGATGAATAAGCAATTTAAAAGCAATCTGGGTTAAATTAAGTTTTCTTTCATATATGAATTTTGTTTAGGAATTTTTACATTCCTATGCCATATAGGAATCTATATTACCCTTAATGTTTAAGGTTTGATATAATAATATTTAGTATACCTAATTACCAATTATATACCATTAGTAGTTTTTAAGGGTATTAATTACACTCCTAATTTACGGTACCGTATATTCCTTCTAATACCACTCCGCCCACGTTTCTCTCTCTAATTCCCACACCTTCACCCGCGTTTCCCTCTCACACCCATGATTTCTGTATCAAAATCCCATTATTTCTTCCATAGCCAAGGCACCGTCGGCATCTCTGCAATCTTGCCCCAATGTTTTTGTGCCCGGGGAAGATGAGCACAAGCCCGATCGATTTGATGGTTATGATTTCGGGTTCCTTCAGTAATATAAGAGGAAAGGAAAAGAGAGCAGCAATCCCACCATTGACAGCCATTTAAAAGCTTTGAAGCTTTGAATTCGAATTTGGGTTTTTAAAAATCATTATTTGTTTGGATTGAGTGTTGTTGTAAATAATTGGGAATATGGTTTGGAGTTTATATCTCAATTTTGAGGGGTTTTTGTGAAGATTAAACTTGGTTTTGGCTGAATTTCAGATTAAAACTCGACGAAGAAGAAGAAGAAGACATGACATACATTATATTGCAACAATTGTAGATAAATTGTAAAAAAATTGTAGAGTGTTGTTTATTTATTTTTGAGCTTTTGTGTTTTTGTGTTAAAAGTTTTGATGGGAGCTTGTTATTCCACTTCGTCTGTTTTGGAGCTAACTTGTGCAGAGGAGAAGATGTTTTTTAAGTTATATATATATTGCTATACCTTTAAATTCAAGAAAGTATGGTTGTATTGTATTTAAAGAGGCGTGAATTTGTAGAATATGTTGAATGTGAGGAATGAGTCAAATAAGACTCACAATGACTTGTTTTTTACATTTATTGTACAATAAAACTGCATATCATTTGAAAAATTTATATGAAAATACAGAATTTCAATGTTTCTACAAACTATCTACAAATTTTCTACAAACTGTTCATAACAGAATTTATCTTTGTTTTCATGCATGTTCGTCTGGAACACTAAAGTTACTTGATATGCCAACATCTCCTGTTATAGAGGAATACAACTTATCTACAATTTTCTACAACTTTCACACATTATTTCCACCCAGTGAAATACAACTACAATAACATAAAACTTACATACCAATGTTATACAATATGTCTTTTGTATATTTTGTATCTGATTTATACATAGTAAAAATAATTTTCATACAACTAATTATATATTATACAACTTATCTACAATTTTCGTACATTATTTCTACTAAGTTATATACAACTACTATATAATACCACTTAAATAAAATTTTTATACAATGTTGTTCAACTTTCATACAATAGTTAAATGAATAAAAGAAAAATAAATAAATAACAGAATACAATTTTTCTACAATTTATCTATAATTTTCTACAATTTCTGCAATATAATGTATGTCATGTCGTCGTCTTCTTCTTCTTCTTCTTCTTCTTCTTCTTCTTCTTCTTCTTCTTCTTCTTCTTCTTCTTCGAGTTTCAATCCGAAATTCAGCCAAAACCAAGTCTAATCTTCACCAAAACCCCTCAAATTTGAGATATAAACTCCAAACCATATTTCTAATTATTTGCAACAACACCCAATCCAAACAAATAATGATTTTTGAAAACCCAAATTTGAATTCAAAGCTTTTTAATGGCTGTCAATGGTGGAATTGCTGCTCTCTTTTCCTTTGCTTTGTATTACTGGAATTTGGACATAATTGCGTTTGATGTAGAAGAATTGTAGAAGATTTAGTCGTTTATGATTTGTGAAATCAGAAAAAAGTTTGAAAAACAGTGTATCGAAAAAGCAGAGACGCTAAATTTGAAAGGAAACTGACGAAGAAGATTAATATGCGTGATTTGCGTTGTGGAAGATCTGGAAGAATATTTAATCCCCCAATTTTAGCGCGCCTAAATAAGGAATGCTACAACTACAATGATTCCTTATTTAATGCATTGTCTATATTTTGTAGAAATACTATTAGCATGTAGGGTAATATGCAAACTATAAACATATTTGGTAATATAGTTTCTTATATGGTATAGGAACGAAAATTTCCGTTTTGTTATAACGAAGTTTGATGGCCCAATTTAAAATGGTCACAAGGTTAAAGAGACATTAATATTTCTTCTTGTTTTGATTTATATAAATCTTTGGTAAGCCAAAAGATTTGTATCGTAGATTAAACACTAAGGTGTGTTTGGTACGAAGTTTGGAAAATATTTTTTCTGAAAAATAAGTAGTTCTCTTGTTTATTTTTCGGTGTTTGATTAGGCAGCATAAAATATTTTTTTAAAAAAAAATATAATTTAGGCAAACACTGTATGAGACGAAATAGGTAAGGACAAGGGAGGGTGGTAGGTCGGGGTTTACGGGCCGGAGTGCCGGTGGCGATTAGGGGGGGGGGGGAGGTCCGAGGAGGGGGAAGGGTAGTGTGTGTGGGTAGGGGGGGGTTGGACCGAGGGTTAGGGGGTTGGGTGGGGCGCGAGTTGGGGTAGGGGTGAAAAAATAGGGTGGATAAGGTAGAGAAAGAATTTCGGAAAATGTTTTCTCTCCTTTTCGTAGGAAATTATTTTTCTCCAATTGGAGAAAATTGAGTTCATAAAAAAATTATTTTCTCTAATATTTAAGCTAATCAAGTATGAAAAATTAAAAAATATTTAATACAACCAGATTTAATTAAAGAACAATTTGCTTAGCTTGTTTATATAAAGCTGGTGATGTCACCATTAATTCAGATTTTATATTTAAAACATTAGGAGAGTGGTTGCTTTCATCTAATACCACGTGCCTGTAAAATATTGGCTGACAGCCTTGCCCAGGGTGCCTTTTATAGTTTTGTAAACTAAAGGGAAGTTGACTTTCATATGTATAATCTTGGAGGAGTTGTGTATAATTTTTAGCTTTAATATATTCAGTTTTCTCGTTAATGTCACAGAAAACCTCATTTCAGTCCTCTCTCTCTCTCTCTCACTCATTACGGATACCGAGTTGACTCAGTTCCAAAAGGACCAAATGGAAGCGATTCTCGGGCCTGACTGGAATCCATTTGAAACCTTTATTACCAATCTCATGGAGAGCTTCGAGGAAAAAAAACCCGACCCATTTGAGAATTTAAATTCCGATAACATGTCGAGCTCCAACGAAAAAGTTTCGGAGGCTAAGTTAATGTTCAACATTATGAAGCAGAAGAATCCAGAGTCTCTTGTTATTAAGTTTGCTAATTTTCTCCGCTCTTCTAATGACATTGATCTTCGTGAAAAGTGTGTGATAATCCTAAATAAGTTGCTTACTGAGGATGACTTGTGCACTTGGTTCAATCTAAGCGGGTCAACCCAATCGATCATCAAATCGGTTCTCCTTGATCGTATCTCACTTGAAGCATCAGACAACATAGAGCTCTCTTACACCGTTGCAAAGATGGCTGCTTCATTTCTACCGGATAATAGTTGGCCTGAGTTACTCCCATTCTTGTACCAATGCGTCACTGGTTCCAGTTCAAACAACTACACAAAAGTGTCAGCTTTCTTTATACTTGGGATACTAGCTGAGGAAATAGGCGAAACAATGGTCCCTTGTTAGGACCGAAAAAAGCAGGTGTCATGCGGAAGCTAGCAAACCAATCCTTGAACGGCGATAATCATACAACAAAGAGAAATCTACTAAAAGAGACACAAACATTTAACGTGGTTCGGTCAACTGACCTACGTCCGCAACGGAGATGAGCAATCCACTATAATAAAAAGAGAGTACAAAATATCGAGAGAACAACCTCACGAAGAGGCAAACACAAGTGACACACTAACACTTGTCCCGTAAAGTTCTCCCCCTAAACACGACTCTCAAACCCCATACGGCTACATTGTGGATGCTGGTGAATGTGAAGGAAGGATCCTCAATTTATAGAAGTCCAAACCTTTTCCTACAAGAAAAAGGACTAGCCAAATATTGGAGATTTATGATTTCCTTTTACAAAAAGGAAAACCCAATTAAGGTAATTATATTGCCCTTTTCCTTCAAGAGATAGGAAAACCAAATATGGTAAGAAAATTATGGCAAACACCTAACATCCCTTGCCTAAAAGATTGGCACTCACTATTCCTTAATACACTGAATGATGATACCCTCCTTCTTGAAGTGAGGATCATGGCCACAAAAGCTGTGATCAATTTCATTCAGTCTGTACCCAATTCAAATGAAAAGGAGCGGTTTCAGGAGCTATTGCCAGGTATGATGAAGACGTTGACTGACGCAACGAGCAACAGTGACCAGGAGGATGTAGCAGAGTACGCGCTGAATTTTTTTATTGAGTTGGCGGAGAATGAGCCTAAGTTCTTGAGAAGGCAGTTAGCGATTGTTGTGGGTAGCTTCATTGAGATAGCAGAGGCTGAGAATGTGCAAGATGGCATGAGGAAATTGGCAGTTGAATTCTTGATAACAATGGTTAAAGCAAAGGAGAGGGCCCCTGGAATGATGAAGAAATTGCCCTTGTTTACAAACAGATGCTTTGCAATGTTATTGCAGTTATTACTAGATATTAAGGATGAACCTATTTGGCATACTGCAGATATAATGCATGAAGATGCAGGGGAAACGAACAACTACAATTTTGGTAAGGAGTGTTTAAGCCGGTTTTCTGTTGCATTAGGTGGCAAGACTGTTGCTCCTATTGCCATAGAGCAGCTGAGTGCTTTCATCGTTGCCCCTGAGTGGGAGAAACGACATGCAGCTCTTGTTGCACTTTATCAGATAGCTGAAGGAAGCTCAAAGGTAAAAATTCTTATGTGTCATTAGTGTATTTATCATGATTATGTCGCGATTATCGTGTAACATTTTAGATGTGCTTTTTTCTCTGGCAAACTGTCAGCTTAAACCCGTGGTTTCTCTGTCTATAGGTGATAATCAAGTATTTGGAGCACGTAGTGAATATGGTCCTGCATTCTTTTCAAGATCATCATCCTCGAGTCAGATCAGCCGCTATTAAATCAATTGGCCGGCTGTCTGTTGACTTCCATCCAGAGTTGCAAGAACAATACACTAACCAAGTATTGCCTGCATTAGTTGCAGCTATGGATGAATTTCAAAATCCTCGAGTACAGGTTTGACTATGGTGATATGAACTCCTTTTGGGCATTGCAAAATTGCCAAAATACAATTAAATCTATAAAAGAAATGATTATTATTGATATATGAATTAAACAATCAGAGAAATATCTATCTTGCTGCACCTTTACAGTGGAGATACATATTCCATAAAGTTAATGATCCATACCTTAGTATAGTTTTAAGTGATTTGATCTTTAAGAAGTTGTTCTTGTTATCCTTAGAGAGAACACTTAATTAGTTTTACATATTCTAGCATGTCTGATTGATACGAATCTTGTGCTTAAAACAGTACCAAACTAAGCATGTAACTCTATACATACCAGACTAATCGTTCTATTGCGTTCTGCTTGAGTACTTATGGTGTGGATGTAATCTTTGGTATATCTTGAGAAGTCACTTGACATGAAAACCTGTTGTCAATTGGTCCATTGCAGCCACTTTTGCTCTTTTTCTTTTTTGGCAATATGAGGCAAAACTAAGGATATTTGAAGCTTCCTGTCTAGAATCTTGTACAGTTAGTATGTTAATAGCCTAACTTATGGAGCCTTAATAGCGCACTGCTTGAAATTTAATCTTATGACTATATTTTGGTGTACATAAAGCTCTTGCCTTAAATGACTTTCATCTATGAAACTAGAGAGGAAGTACTTATTACATAGAGATACGTCAGGGGATGCATCTGAAGTGACCCTTAAATAGGGTTTGAAGAATTCACAGGACATAGATTTGGTACAGATGTGTCATTACTGCTTCATTCAGTTCATGATACCAAGTTATTAGTTTTACTCTCTTTGACATTTTCACAGGTAGAAGCAGCAGCTGCTGTCAAGATTTTCTGTCTAACTGGAAAGCCAGAAACTTTGGTACCCCACTTAGATGGAATACTTAAGAAACTGCTTGTACTTATGCAGGTATAGAGGCTACCATGCATGTCTAAAAAATTCCTGCTGTCTTTCCAACTCATTGATTTTGTTTGAAATGCAGAATGACAACCAAATGGTTCAAGAAGCAGCATTAAAGGCATTGGGTGGCATAGCTAATTTGTATAAGGTATTACACACTTGCATTTATTTCTGACTTGGTTCTATTTCTATTTCTACTTATGTCGTGGATAATGATGGCTAATATATCATTCTTCAACAGGAGCATTTCCAGAAGCACTATGATTTTCTAATGCCATATTTGAAAACTATCCTGGTAAATGCAAATAATAAATATAATGTCTTGCTTCAAAGCACAGCCTTGGAGTGCATAAGCTTTGTTGGGATGGCGGTAGGCAAAGAGAAATTCAGTGATGACTTAAAGCAGGTCTTCTTCCCACTATGCTCAATATGCTTCATTTTTAGTGCTACGGGAAAACTTTATCTATCTCTGGTATTTACACCATAACACATTAATTTACCATGGTTAATGATAACTTGAGGTGAAAATACATGTGATTAGCCTTGATTAAGTGATAAAGTGTATGTAAACAACACATGTCATGTATTTATTGATTTGATGTAAACATCATTGCATGTTAGTTTTATTCCACGGTGCCATTGCAGATGGAACTTCTTTGTTCTTGTTCGCATTTGCTATGCTTTGTCAGATGGCTTTTCTGTGGACAAACCATAGTATTGATTACAACTATTTGAATAACCACTTTGGTCAACATTTCGGAGCAATGACTAATGACTCATATTATCTCCACATTGTACCTCTCTTATGGCACTCTCTTTCTTCTCAGGGTGCTGTAGTGGCGTGATCTTATTGCATTTATTCATTTCGCAATGTGGACTTCTTTTAATATTGTTTTCTGTTTTTCATTAAAGGTTATGGAAGTCGTTAAGCCGTTACTAAAATCACAAGATATAGAGTTTGTTACTATCATTTACATTCTTGAGGTATGTGTTAAACGTTTAATTTTACGTGCTCATAACTTCTTCTTAGATTGGCCGATGTCAATTAATATTTTCTTGATTTCGTTGCAGGCATGGTCGAGATTTTGCAGGTGCATGGAGAAGGATTTTCTTCCTTACATGAGTACAGTCATGCCCCCATTGGTTGAATGTGCTCGACTTAAGCTTGATAAGATCCTATTCTCAGCAGATACAGACGATTGCAGGGAGATGTTTGGTGATAGGTAAGCATTTATCATTGAGGTTTGGCTTTTTACTTTATCACTGAGGTTCTTAGATTTTATTTTCTTTTTTCCTCTTACTTTGAAATTTTGCTTTTCTTTTCTATGCAATTTAGGCATTCTAGTTAGGGTAGAATTGAGTTAGCGAAAGCCTATGTGACACTGTGGTCTTACAGTTTTCTAGAAAAGGCAGCCCAATGCACAAAGCATTCCGCATTCATGTAGAGTCTGTGGAAGGGACGCACCCCAGGGGATGTGATGTAGATATCCTACCCTAATGCAAGCACTAGTGGTATCTTCCACTGCTCGAAGCCATGACCTAGAGGTCACACGGAGACAACTTCACCGTTGCTCCAAGGGGTGTGATGTAGACACTCTACCAGTCTACCCTGATGCAAGCAGTAGTGGCTGCTTCCACGGCTCGAACCCGTGACCTAGAGGTCACATGCCCGTTCTGCAGCATGGGGGCAGGACCGCTAGGCAAAGTTACTTGATGAGGAATCCTTTCTCGCGAACAAACACAACCCCTACACTTTCAAGCCGGTAGTAGGAGGAACCTTCCGCATGAAAGCGAAAGGAAGCGACCGATCAAGAAATGCAAAGAGAAGGGGAATAGTTAGTGATAACGGCATAGGACACAGAAAATTCCTTCTCTCTCTTTTGAATCCCAGGGATTGCCTCAGGGAAGAGGCCAGTCCCTGAAAAAACCATCTCGATTGATATCATTCAAATGCACTTTACCATTGCTCCAAGGCTCCCTTTCCGGTCTTACAGTCTTCTAGATGTATAGTCACCACATTTTAGAAGACTTAATTTTTGTAGTTCTAGATGTATCAGACATGGAGTCAATTAGTTTGCCACATCCTGTTGTTAAATTATTATCTAGATAGATAATTACCACATTGTTATGAGCACCTTTTTGCTGCTTTACTCACCCATAGTTAAATATAAATTCCCGCGAATCCGTAGGATTTCTCATTATTTAATTTTGCATTACTGATTAGTACTAAGACTGCTAGTCAGAGGTGGTTATTGGGGATACCAAGGATACCTTGCTTAATTTTCTCATTTTGCAGCGTACACTTTGTCATGTTTGGGAAAAGAATGATATCGATCACAGAAAGTGACCTCCTACGAGGCAAATCTATAGCATGTGGTATCTTTGGTTTACTTGCTCAAACATTGGAGGAAGACTTCCATCCATGGATTTCCCAGGTTAGCATGAATAATCTCTTGCACGTTCACAGGATGCTTCAATTTTAGTTCCGCTTCCGAAATCAACAGGTGATATTTTATGGCTTAAATCATGAAACAGGCTGCTTCAGTTTTAGTTCCGCTTCTGAAATTCTATATCCACAAAGAAGTTAGGAGTAAAACTATTCGTGGTAAAAAATCTCATAATTTCACATAAGTTCTTTATTTTTCTTTAACTGCCCAATTCCTTATGAGATGTTATAACTTCTGTTGGTGAAGCAATGTATCCCCTGCTGATTTCTGCTAAACTGGCGGTAGAGAAAGGAACAGCTGAAGGTGGAAATAAGTCGTACTTCAAGAAGTTGTCCACGGCTACACTACGGGCACTGAGAGACGCTTTATATTCGGTTGCCTTCAACACATTACTACTTTTCTTTTTCCTTGTGGGAAAATGGTTTGAACTCCATTTATCTGAATGAAGAGGAAGTGACACTTCGATTACTATCTTATGCAGGAACCTAAGGTCGAACTATGTGCAAGTATATTGCGGGAATTGAATAAATGCCTACAGGTACATCATGTTAAGATGGTTTCTTTACTGTGATCCAAGTTTGCAGTGTTCTTTTTAGATGGTGGTATGCTGATTTTGAGCTTTTAAAGTCCATTATGATAAGCAAGATACTAGTCCAACCCCAGATATAATGATATTCTACTAGAAGCAAAAGAAAGCATAGTACACACAACCTTATTTATACATAGAGAGGGCATGCAGAATTAGAAGTTCTTCCTACAAAAAAGATTTACTTGTGTGAAAACAGAAGAGCTTCTCATTTTCTTAATTAACAGCGAAAGAGAGGTGTTACTTATACAGGAGTCTTAAGCTATGTATAATAGCTCGCTATACTAACAATATAATGTAAGTAAATATACCTTAATAAAAAAAATATAATGTAAGTATATCTTATAACTAAATATAGAATATTCTAAGATGTCCTATAGAATATTTTATATGATTTTCCTTATTCAAATACAATGAATCTAGATGTGTACGAAAGTAGACAATTATGCACTTGATATTCTAACAACTTGTACCGTATTAAAATGATTAAGAATTGAAACATGGACTAAAATTTACTATGAATCACATAATTACAAAAGTTCCTTTGACATGAACATATAACACTGACATTACTAATTATTTAGTAGATTGACTCCATAGCGAAACTTATTTTCAGTAAATCACTTTTTTTTCGGGGCCCATCAGGCATTTGTTGGGACAATGTTAAGCTGACTTATAAAATGTTTCATGCTTATTGAACTGCACTAGTTGTAGAAATCAAGCTGGTTAGAATTGCAGTTTTCACTTATTATGGTCTTTTTGGTGTCTTCATTCAGATCTGTGGATCACTTCTCAATAAAGAGCGAATTCTCAGAACCATCAATAAGATAAAGCACGTCCTTGTAAAAAGTTCACGTAGAAAAGGAGATCTCGTAAAGAGAGCAAAGTCAGAGGATTTTGATGCTGAAGAGGCTGAATTGCTGAGGGGGGAAAGAGAGCAAGAAGAAGAAGTTTTCATAAATGTATGCTCAATAAAAGAATGAAATCATGCTAACTTTATACAAGCCTTCCACTTTAATTTATTATCGAATTACATAGACATTATTTTTTATCAGGTTGGTAACATATTGGTTACATTTATCAAAATTTTCAAGGCTGATTTCTTGCCTTTTCTTGATAAGCTTTCATCATATCTACTGCCTATGAAGGTAAGTTTTATAGCTCACATAACCAATTTTATCATTTTAACCCTCTAGGTTGTTTTTCTTTTATTTTTCTCATTGTTCTTTTTTTGCCTGCTCGAAGGGCAAGGATTATACAGCTGCAGAGACAAGTACATGTTTTCTTATCTTTGCTAAACTTGTTGAGGATTGTGGCGAGGCAGCGCTAAAGTAGGTCTATCTTTATGGGTTTTTCTAAAATAAGGTCATAATTTCTGATAGTTACTTCCTGTCCAAACTAGGTACTGTTATATATATCTTCCTTTTCTCTTGGACTCAAGCAACGACGAAAACTCAGGTGTTAGACAGGTTTGTGTATCTTGGTGGTTGGGACAGTTTTCAGTCATGTTACATTTGCTATTTGATTCACCCTAACACCATTGATGTCATGTTTAGAATGCGCTCTATGGACTTAGGCTTTGTGCAGAATATGGTGGTTCTGTTTTCGAACCTGTTGTTGGGGGTATGATACTGTCGAACGTAATATTAAGATTATTCTCATTAGGAGACGTGAAAGGAAATGTGATACTTATATATTTGTATTCACTAAATCTTATGACGTGATTCAGAGGCTCTTTCAAGGATCAATGTAGTGATAACACATTTACATGCTCATGAACCCGAGAATGAACATGCGTATAATAATGCTGTTTCTGCACTTGGTAAGATATGTCAGGTTCATCAGGAAAGTATTGACTCAGTGCAGGTACATTTTCCTGGGAATCCCTAACGTTGTCTTATACATGCATTATATATTCCTTCAGCTCATACACACTAGATTAATTTATTCTGAAATTTTCAAGTTTAGATTTAGGTTACTTGAGTGGTAACTAACTTCATGTCATGCATCAACAGTTTTGGACTTACTATTATCTTTTGATCGCATTTCTGTCTTATAGATTTTAACAACTGAAAATCACTGTACCAGCCTGATAAGAAGATTGGAATAAACTAGGAATATATACGAATGGTGCTCGTCTTAGTAAAATGGTGATTTACAAGAATTTTCTATAATTCTTATTTAAGTTTAGTGGCGGTTTTAAGTTTTCAAATACTGGTTTTTTTCCCAATAGAAATTTTGGTCTGGAATAATACCTGTTGCAACATCTTGGCAGCTGATATTGGTCGTGACCATATCTTCTGGCACACCTCTCTTTCCATAGCTCCCAGCACACAATGCTTGGAGGAATCTGTAGTATCAGTTTGTGTTTACAGTCCATTTCCCTTTTAACATATAGGAAATGGACTGCAATCATTTCGTCTTAGTAAAATGGTGATTTACAACTGAATATATTCCTTTTGTTTACTCCTTAAAGGCCTGTATGTCTCATTGTGCATATGCTCACGATTTTGGTAAAACATGCAGCTTTTGATCTTCCAAGATGAAATGATGCTCCTCAATGTACTTCATAATCTTGTTAAAATTCCATAAAATTCACATTCCACATTTTTTGGTAGATTATTCCGGCTTGGTTGAATTGTCTGCCTTTAAATGGTGACGCGATTGAAGCCAAAGTAGTTCACGACCAGCTCTGTTCAATGCTCGAAAGGTACTGGACTAGTTTTCTCTAGTATTTATCATCATCTTGTCTTTACTTTTCAAGCTATCCTTTTGTTAAGGGCACTGATTGTCAAGGCAGATTCCAAGGTTATGAATGACAACCTATCAATACTAATTCAAGTGATATCATTATATTGGGGTTTTCATCAACCCATTAGTTGGTCGTCCTAAGAGCGGAGCTAGAATACGGATTCAGCCGAACCCAGTAACTTTGGTCAAAATCCTATATTTGTCTTAAAAATTCCTTGAATTCTGTACAAATTCTTAATTTAGAACCAATAACTTGAAAGAACTAGAATCTCGAACTCATAAGCTTCAACTTCTGGCTACGTCTCTGGTTGGTCCACTAGCTTTCTGTAGTTGTTTCTCATTACTCCAAAATTTTCATTCATTCAGCAAATTAAGAGCCAGCTGAAGTTTGCAAACTTTAATATGTAATCTCTTATATCAATTTCTTTTGTCTTTAATGTTTACCAAATTTTCTCACCTGCAGGTCGGATAGAGAACTTTTGGGTCCCAACTATGAACACTTCCCGAAAGTTATGTCTGTTTTTGGAGAGGTATTTTGATAGCATAACCAATAGATGCCAGATTGAATTTGTTCTTCTGTGCTGTTCTCAACTCTGATACTTATATTAGAAATCTTATACGTATATACGAATAAAATTACATTTTATCAAATTAATCTCTCTCATTTAGTCATTAAGTTTTGGTTCTTTAGGTTCTATGTACTAGAAAAGATCTTGCCACAGAAGAAACCACAAAACGCATGATTAATCTTTTAAGGAATCTTCAGAAAACACTACCACCAGTGATCTTGTCATCGGCGTGGTCATTACTATTGCCTCAGCAGGAGATGGAACTAGATTCCATTCTATCATTTGAAGAAGATGCTATCTTTTCATGATCAGTTCATATATTTTAGAGCTCAACAACAACAACAACAACAACAACAACAACAGAAAACCTGCAAGGTAAAGGTGGATCAGTTCATATGTTTTCTAGCTGATTTTTGCTTCACAAAGAATAATAGACAACCTATTAGACAAATGCATAAGGTATTATGGTTTGTTGGGAGAATGAAAAGTTTTAATTTAGTCACGTAATATAGTTGAATATTGTTATGCACATATATATTAGAGGACCTCTAATAAGCTCTGACTTTTGCAAAGGGTGTTCAAAGTTTAATACATGTATAAAAGATAATTTTACATATATACACCAGTATAATTTTCTATATAGCATAGTATATATAATTTTCCGATAAAGAGTGTTCAATTGAATATCCTTCACACTATATATGTGGCTACGCCACTGTTACATGTTAAATGGTTGTCTTTTTGTTGCTTTGTTTACCATGACAACAAGAAAGTTATTTTAGTTCAATCTGTTAACACTCTTCACAGGCTCACAGAAGTCTTCATTAGCCACTTTGTTCATATAAGTAACTAAAATGTAATAGTGATAACAAAACATATTGTGTGAAAAGTTAAAAGAGTAGAGTCTTTAATAATTTTATAATTTACATGAATTCAACACTTTTCTGGTTATAAGTAGGAGTGGTAAAATGGTTAAAAGAAAATAGCTAACCACCCATATTATCCACTAAAAAATGGGTTGGATATGAAATTTTTAAAAACGGGTCAAATATGGATAAGAACCATATTATCCATTTTCTTATAACCAATGAACAACCAATGGATAACCAATGGGTCTAACTTTTACATTTGTAAAGCCTCAAATTGGGGGTACCTCAAGTTAGGGAGACTAAGAGTTCTCCCAAAAGTGATCATATACAAGAAATCATGGATAATATGGGTAGCCCATATTATCCGCCGGCTAACCCATTTTTTTATCCGTATTAAATATGGGCCGGAGCAGATAATTGATCCGTTTTTTCATTACCCGTTTCCGACCCGAACCATATCCGACCCGACCCACCCGTTTGCCTCCTGGTTATAAGTATTCACACATCTTATATTAACAATTAGTCGCATTGTCTATGTGCACTTCTAATATAACTCATTAAAAAATTACTTTTTAACACCAGCACGTACATATTCTGTGTAATGGAATATTACTATCATTATCTTACTACGTTTAGAATACATTTAAAAATATATATATTTAATAATTATAAATTGGTGTAAAGAGTAATTGGTATCTTCCAGCTCATATAAATAGTATGAAATTCATGAGGTCATTTGGAAGATAATGATTATAGGTAAAGAGTAAATCGATAGGAAGATATTAATAAAGCCGTAAGAAGAAAGAACATAGAGAATTACATCCCTTGTCACTTGGTCCAACAATCCATCAGAAAATGACCCATGTTTGAAGCTTTTACTCAGTATAGCCCAGGTTATACATAATGAAAATTAGTTTTCACCAGTTAGCCAACCCCTTATTTCTTCGTTCCCCTTTTTTCTTCGTTCTTCTTCTCCTTCCTATGTCAGCCTTTGCACCACAAAATTTCTCTACTATTGTTATTCTCCTTCAATTCTTTTCCGGATTTCAATGGTTAACTAAGGATTTGAAAAATAAAAGTCACCATTACAAGTGGTTCTAAGATTCGATTTCAGAAATTGAGTTTTCCGATTTGTTAGTTGTTTGGAATGGGCGTTGTCTCAATTGATTGGAATCATCAAGATGTGTTCAAAACTTAAATTTCAAGTGATTTGGAGTAGATTTAGGCTATATTTGAGTTAAATTTCAGAAATTGAGTTTTCCGATTTGTTAGTTGTTTGGAATGTGTGTTGTCTCAATTGATTGGAATCGTCAAGATGAGTTCAAAACTTAAATTTCAAGTGATTTGGAGTAGCTTTAGGCTATATTTGAGTTAAATTTTAGAAGATGCCCAAGGAAGAAGAAGAACACGTGAAGCTCCATTGATAGGATTCATTTGTATAATAATGTATAATATTGTATAAATAGTATATAATAGTGTATAAACACAACTTATACACTATTATATCCAAGGTTGATACATTATTTACAGGTATTTGGTGAATTTCTCGCATTTTCTTCCTCTTCTTCTTCTTCTTCTCATTCTTCTTATACACCTATATACATAGTGTATCAAGAATATTTTTAATCTGTGATTATACATCTTTATACACTTTTATAAAACTATATACATAATGTACCTCTTTGTATAAAAGTGTATAACATTGTATAAAAGTGTATAAGCATCGCTGACGAAATTTTTGTACGATTTTCACTTGCAATTCTTGTATAAAACTAGTCCAAATCTCCAGCAAATAACTTTAAACTTTGTATACAACCTACTTAGACTATTTCTAATAAGTTCAAACAATACCCACTCCAAATTTCTCACAAAATCATAATCGAAATTTAACAAGATTATCATTAAATGAGATGAGATTTTAGGTTTCTCGCGTCTGTTTTTGCATTTTGCAGTTGTGATAGGTATGTATAAACCTGAAGATATACAAAATTTAAAAAAAAAAACAGAGAAGTAATGGTTATGGAAGAAAGCACGAATGAGTGTTGACTGAATGGGGAACTAATTTTTCTTTTCAGTTTTGTTTGCATATGATTCTTTTTCATTAATTAAATTAAATATTTATGGGTAAAAAATGAGGAGAGAGCTACAATAGGGGTAGGTAGGAATAAATGAGGTTGTTATAATTAGAGGGAATGAGAAAAGAAAAGATCATATTGGTATTTGGCTACACATTTGCAAACTTGTAACTGGGTTATACATTCCTATGCCACATAGGAAACCTTATTACCCTCAATGTTTAAGGTTTGACTTAATTACACTTAGTATACCAAATTACCAATTCTATACCATAATTAATTAAGGGGACAATTAATTATACATTTTTTACTCCTTAATTAAAGGAATCTGCATGTTTCTCTCTCCTAACCCCTCAGTCCCATCCAAGTTTTACCCATACCCGCGTTCTTTTTACCATTTTTCATCTTCTGAAATCAAATTCTCCCTCTAAATTCACAAAAAATTGAAGAAAACCTTCAACAAAGTTGGTCCCCATTTTACTCCAGTTGAAGTTCATCAATGAAGAACAACAAAGTTCATCAAAATTGAAGTCAAATCTTCAAAGTTCATACACACATTTACCTTCAGCTTCAAATTTTCTCAATGAAGAAGAACAAACCTTCAAAGAGACAAGAGAGTAGCAATTCCACCATTGACAGCCATTAAAAAGCTTTGAAGCTTTGAATTCAAATTTGGGTTTTCAAAAATTATTATTTGTTTTGATTGGGTGTTGTTGAAAATAATTGGGAATATGTTTTGGAGTTTATATCTCAATTTTGAGGGGTTTTGGTGAAGATTAGACTTGGTTTTGACTGAAATTCAGATTGAAACTCGAAGAAGAAGAAGAAGAAGAAGACATATTGCAGAAATTGTAGATAAATTATAGAAAAATTGAAGATAAATTGTAGACTGTTTTTTGCAGAAGATTTGTAGAAGTTTTAGTCGTTTTTTATTTGTGAAAACAGAAAACAAAGCACCTACAATTAGAATACAAATAATCTACAATTTATCTACAAAATATCTACAAACTGGGTACATTGAATTTTTATATCCCAATTCCCATCCAATTGTAGCATAATTGTGATTTTTGACATAATTACGTTTTTTCAGAAGATTTGTAGAAGTTTTAGCCGTTTTTTATTTGTGAAAACAGAAAATAAAGCATCTACAATCAGAATACAAATAATCTACAATTTATCTACAATTTCTGCAATATGTCTTCTTCTTCTTCTTCTTCTTCTTCTTCTTCTTCGAGTTTCAATCTGAATTTCAGTCAAAACCAAGTCTAATCTTCACCAAAACCCCTCAAAATTGAGATATAAACTCCAAACCATATTCCCGATTATTTTCAATAACACCCAATCCAAACAAATAATGATTTTTGAAAACCCAAAGTTGAATTCAAAGCTTTCAAGCTTTTTAATGGCTATCAAATGTGGAAAATATCTGGAAGAATATTTACTTCCATAATTGTAGCGCGCCTAAATAGGAATATCTGGAAGAATATGATTTGATCTGATTTACGCCAAATCTTTTTAGAATATTCTGTTCCTCAATTTTAGCTCGACAAATTAGGAAGATTCAGCTACTATTAATTAGTATTTAATGATTGGTATAATAACTGTAGAAAAAATATGGACAGGGCGGGTAAATTAGAAACTATGCACATTTTTGGTAATAAGGTTTCATATATGGTCTCTTCTGTAATTTTGTCTATTTTAATAGGGAAACTTACACAAATATCCCAAATAAATCTCAACTTACCAACCTCTAGCCATTAGTAATAGATTTACCAAAACTAGCCAACAAAAATTGAAAACCCAAATAATAGGGTTCTTTCTCTCAAAGAATCACATGCAAAAATCACCTTCCATATTTTTAAGCGTGATTAGCAACATTAGATACAAGACGGAAAGGAAATTTCATGGACGGGGTAGCAAATAAGGTGATGAAATACAAAAATCTATACAATATTTCAAAAATCTAAACAAAAAAGGAACTTTTTCAATGGGTATAGTTGAAATTCATTGAAATTATATAGATAAGTCAATATACAAAATTTGAGGAAGATTGGAGGTGATTTGGACTGGTTTTGTATCAAAATTCGTAATTAAATCGAGTTCAAAAAAGTCTTCTGCGACACATGTATCAAACATGTATCACACACACAGAGGTATACATGGATATACATGTGATACACAATTGATACATATGTGATACACAAATGATACACAGTATGATACACATATCATTTTTTTTCATTTCAGCTTTTACTTCGAATTTTCAATTCAAACCACCTCAAAACTTCACCAAATCATCCCAAAACTGAGATTCAAGCTCCTTAAGTTGTGCCCAATCTATTCTAATAACACCCACCCAAAACAAAGCAAAAATTTGATATTTTTTGCTACAAATAGCTAATTTGGCTAATATTAGTAATATTTTATCAATTGGCCAATTTTTGTAATGAGCTACTTATAAATGGACATAGCTGGTAATTTCCCATTTACCCGCCTACGTTTAGCTTTTATTCTCAAGGGTTCAGCTAGTACTCTTCTTGCTATTTTTCTTGGCTACAAGTAATAATAATAATAAGTGGTATTCAGAAGGCCATCACAAACGCACGACATTCTTGTTCACCACAAACCCTAACAAGGTTGATTTCCGTGTTAACTAACCGCAGTGATTATCA